TTTAAAAAGTCTCAAATTTATATCATATTTGACACATTTGACACATATACATTTATCCTCAAATCTCCAAATTACTAAATTATCACATCCTTAAATTCGGAAATTATAAAATTTGTAGTTTTTTATATTACCAAATCTTTAAACTTTTAAACTTCCAGATTTTCAAATTTCTTAATTTCCAAATTACCCAATTTCGTGTGTTCCAAATGATCACATTCCTAAATTTGAATTTTTCCAATTTCCAAAGATTAGGAGTTATCACGTTATCAAACTTAAAAATTTCTGAACTCCATATTCAAAAGCAATTTGTTTTGCCGATCCAAATGTATTTGTTTTTTCCTTATATTGAATTTTTGAAACTGTACAGTTAAACACTTTTACACATTTTATCTTAAATTACTTATATTATAACCTTTTAGAATCTTTTAATTTTTCAAGAAAGTTTAAATATAATTAAAAACGCATCTTTAATTACAATCAAAGTGTAATTGAATTACAATTAAAAGTGTGCCTGCAGTAAATGCTTTGATCAAACACAATTATCGTCGTTTTAATGCAATGAATCCTTTTGAGATTTCGCTAATGTCCGGATCTCATTGTTCTTCACGTCCAGTGAAATTGGAAAGAAATTTCATACTATTCAAATTGTGTTTCTGATACCATTACCTTGAGTACACACCATATATCGTGGAAGAAGAACTTACTGAACATTATGTATGTATAATGTGCCGTTGGTATAAAGAAAGATTTTGTGCAATGTTAACGAGACGATTCACGTCGCGAATGACTGGCTTATTTCGAAAAGGTCTTCCGCGACACACCGTTAGGCTTGACTACCGGTTAATTAACGACGTGACACCATAATTGGCCCGGTAATTCGATCCGCTCGTAGATGGATCCTTTTGCGAGTGCTGCGCGTATCCCGCGGCCCACGGGTTAAAACGGACCCGCGCACATCGTTAAATTAAAATCCTGAGACGAGCTATGGTATAACCATCGCATCGCCGTCGTTGCTTTGCACCGGGCCATCTCGGCGGTGTCTTCTAATTTGCAACGCATAATATTTGAATAATTTGCACGCGCTAATGGGTCCCGACCGTGAATCTCTGAGGAACGCGCCAGGATGTATATAGAAACACCTTGCAGACATTCTCCGTTTTTTTCTTCGCTTTCAATGTAATACAAACGATTTATTTGAAATCATGATAAGCAATATCAGACCGGTTATCGAGTTCGTATGACGAATCCGCTTGCAACCACTTGATCAAAGTGTGCGACTCGACCGCATCTAATCGCAGACTCAGTATCTTATCAGTGACGTATACGACGGCGCTTTCGTCGCCTGTCCAACACAGTGGAAAATGTCGAATGCGTCGCAATCGTTATCTACCTGGTACTGTTATTGTTTGCAAACTTTTACGGTCTATCATGGAATTAATTTACGAGTTTTTGGACGATTTAATTTTGTTAAATCAGCTAATACGTCGATTCGTAACTTTTTCTTTTTTCGTCGATCTTTTTTCTTCGTTCTTCGTTAGAAGATGAATCAAATGTTTGTATTAATAGCTAGAAAATTTCTTTCTTTCATGTTTTAAGCGAGAAGAGAGAGATTTGGCAACAGTAGAAATTAATTGATAGGTTATACTTATTTTGCTAAGATACGTCGATATTCGATCGAACGCGTCTTAAATTAAATGATGAATCACACACGAATAATGATTATGAAATCCGTATGTACAATTCTTTGTGCTTTATTATCCGTTTAACTTTTTTCGTTAGTAACCCAAATATTACATTAATATAGTTATATATTTTTTTAAATATGTTTTAAATTTTTTCAGTTGGAGTTTATTTATTGAATTCCTTTTGTACACGTGTACATTACTACGGAAAATTTTATATAAAATTTTATACGAAATTCGTTGAAATAAAACAAATCGTAAATATAGGACGACACAAATCATTGAAATCAGAATCGAAACGACGTATAATGATTTTCAGGTTGATGTCATTTTGTGTCAAATTGTATCGCGTCGACAGTATTAAAGTATGATTTCATCAAATGTGCAAATAATCAGCAGACGTTTAATCTTGATCACGTGTCATGAATTTCAATTATTTGAACCGGTTTCGTAAAGCAACTTCGTTCTTGTTTCTGAAATTCCTCCAAAGTACAACATACCAATTTTTGCGTCGAACACAACATGAAAAGTGTTGTTTAAAAAGAACATTCTATTTATCTCTACAATCGATCTATGTACTATTGGATCGGTTAAAAAGTCATGTCGTTTTTTTCAGTAGATGATATTTATTCAATTCATGTATTAACACTTTCTTTTCTTTCGGCAAATGCGAACATGGCCTTAAAACTTTCCTTTTACAGTATTTTATTTAAAAAAACAGTACTAAGTATATAGAGTTTTTCATCTGTTATAAATGGTTAATTATGGAAAATACATAGATTGATTTTGTCAATATTATATTACATCATTTTCACGAAGGCAAAACATTGTTCCAGGAAGATATGTATAATGTATAATGAGGTTACAATAAATGATTTCAAATTAATTTCCATTTGAGACATTTTGTGTTAAAAATATTCAGATGAATAATGATCACGTTTCATACGAAATTTATAACATTTTGAATTTAAATATCATTTAAATTACTTGTAACATCCCTTTCAGAATTTTCTTGCGAAAAGTATTATCTTACATTTTACATCATACGGCATTATGTATATGTATATTATCTTTCAATTTGATTACTTCATTAAAATTATAAAAATTTTCGCAATGTTTGGCATCAATTCTGTAAAATTAGAATTTTTCTTTTTTGGAATTTTCTATATGTATACATATATAATAAGTCAATAACAATTCTCTCCGAAATAAAGGATAAAATCGCGTCGAACATTTTTTAACAAGTAATTTACTGATTAAATTGTATGAATTCATTACTGAACGCTCATTATTACAGAATTTGTGGCGTGTTACTTACTATTTTTATTATTGAATACAAAAATAACCTGATCCTAGTAAATGCAATAAACAATACTATCAAGATAGCATACAAAACTTTTTACTATAATAATTGCTTAAGTTGATGCATATGTATACGTGAGTGCAATTGCGACTGGTCTACAATGTGTTAAACACGAAGTAAATTACAGCTTACTGGTAAGGTGTTAACTGTACCTCATAAACCCATAAACCCATAAATGCTTGGGGTTATACCGTATCACTAGACTTTATAAGAATTAAACAGTTAACTAGACAATAAGGAAACTCAGTATGAATTTAAGTCTTATTTTGGAGATGTGCGAATTATGATTTTGCGGAATTATTATTTTTTAGGTCATTTATAATTGTGGGAACTTTAAATTTAATCAGTGATGCACATCCTTTACAAATACTTTATATAGCCAATCATAAATTTTTAAATTACTATAAAAATTTGGTGTGCATGCAAATTACTGGACGCACGTAATCGTAATTAGGTCTACATTGCCACCTACAAATTTTATTATCTTTCAATTCGTTCGTTTTTTCAATCTTATATTTCGCTACATTTACTTCATATTACGTAATGATCTCTAAATCAACGTTTTGTCGATTCAAATCATTGTACATTCAAATCATGTTTTTATCAACTCATTTTCCATACACATAAATGTTCTGGGCTATAATTCTGGGCTATAGACACCTATTGCTCTTAATCATTTGTTAATAATCTTTCCAAAAGTATAAATTCTTATAAATTTTGCACTTTTCATAGTTGGATTGAAAAATTTGTATAACACGTTCAAATAGCTGAACTATATATTTTAATATATATTTTATCGATGAAATACAATTAATAATAAATGAATAAAAGAGTTTAAAATATTAAAACGCATAATAGAGATAGTAATCGCGTAAAGTTAATTTCTGTATTTATTACATTAATACATATATTCTTGGTATATGTACAAATTTTACTGTAACTTCAATTCGACGAGTATTTTATGACAGTAACATTTCTTTCTTCATCGAAACGTAATATCAACAAGGAAACATTTTATTATCAATCGTTTTAGTAATGAAATTATATTGAGTTATATAATTGTTTATCCAACTATACAAGTACATATTTATAGACATACATACAATATTTTGGCAGAGACAATCATAGTGAAAACATTAAACCTTTGAGATTGCAATTCGAAACATTTCTAGTAAAATTCCTATATTATTTATACTAAACCTACGATCGTATAATGCACCCTACTTTGAAATTAAAAGTGACATTGAAAAATAAATAAACAATTAATAAAACATTAATTCCTTATCTCGATAAAAAATAACAGATTTCAAGAAATGACTTTAATAAACAATAGCTATAAGTACTCTAATCTTACTTTAATAAGTTTTGCAATTTGGAACAAAAAACTCATAAAGGGATTATTTGACCCGCTTGATAATTTATGCGTTAAATATTATAATCGCGTAGGATTAAATTTAAAAAATTCGATTTTAGCTGTGCATTACCTGTCGCAAATTCTAGACCATTATGCACTAGTCCGCGGTGTTATAAGGGTTAAGAGTATGCGTAATGAAATCATCGTGGTTTCCGAGCGGGGGGCCGAAGCCACGTGTGTCTCTATCCCCCACGCAGAGGAGAGGTAAAAGAATCGGTGAGGGTGGCGTGGTCGCAGGTGGGAGAGCCAGGGAGAGCCAGGGAGAGCCGAGAGGTAGCCCGGAGGAGCAAGAACTCGATCGAGAGGAAGGAGGTTGGGTGTCGTAGGAGGCGGTGGGAGGAGGGAAGGAGGTGGGACCGTGTGGCGAGCGTGCGAGAGTGAGAGGACGAGGTGAGTAGTGAGTTCGTGGAGCCGAGTGAGTAACAGGGAGTCGCAACCGAGGACCCACTCAGTCACCACGAGATCGGCAAGCCGAATGGTCAACCGCGCCGGTTCTCCTGCTCGGTAGTTTGCGCACAATACTAAGGGATCAAAACAAGGACACGTTGTTCTTTCGTGTGTCAACCAACGTGTAAGTTGGCGGATGAGCTGCTTGAATCATCGTACGTTTCGACTTGTCGAAATCGCAAGAGGGATTTGCGAATCCGATTACACGATGTGGAGATTTTTGGTGCGCTGTTATGTCACATTGACATCAATCTGACGTGTTTGCATTCGATCGTATCGTTTGACAACCTGATATCCGTCTACCAATTTTGAGAACTGACTTTTCATCGGGGAAACATCGCGGAGAGACCGGAAGTGAGTGAGTGGATGCGAGCAAGAAGTCGAAGACTCTCCTGCAGGAGGACGAGGAAGAGATGATCGAGCTGCTGGTGGCCGGAGCGTTCGCCCTCGCCACACTAAGGCGGTGTGTGTACATTGCTAAATTATATCCACTTTCTCTCTAGCTTTTATCTTTCTTGTGCTATTTCTAAGAAGAAACTTTTTTCGCGGATACAAAATGAATCGTGACAGGAGCAAAGGTCGGTCTCGCGACGATACTCAGTCAAATTTTTATTCAGTTTACACTTTAAAGCGATACCAATTTGCTTCTACTTATTCGTTTCGATGTGTCTGCTAAATAAAAAACGGTCATTTATTCCTACCTAGGAGTCACTTGCAGGAAAGAACTAACGACAAGGTGTATCTAGCGACAAGTTTTGCCGTAATGTACATAATGATGCAGTGACACGTGAGGATTCCTCGCGATGTCTCAGCTACATTGTTTTTTTTTCTTATTTGCGCATAGCACGATTCTACAAATCATGGCTTAGGGTAAAAAAGGTCTTTAAACGTGAATAGAACGCGCTGCTACTTCAATTGTTTGCTATATTCAGAAATTAGAAAATTCCGTTAGTAATTGCTTCTTTTTTCTCCTCGGATACGATGGTTACGTTGTGTTTCGCCATAAACGTTCAGGTATTTGGTATTTTATGATCATTTCGTAAATATCGAGTTTTGTGCTAAATACAAGTAGCTTCTTGTGTATAATAGACAATTTAAATATGGAATTTAGTAAATATGTTGATTTTGTAAAAAATACTTCAATTCGATAAGACTAGATTTAGCAAGAAATGAATAGATAGTAACATTTTGCTTGGCTGAGCAATATTAGTTGTTTATCAAGAAATATTCTAATTTAATAAACTTAGCATTGAAAATGTAATCTGCAATAAGAAAAATAATTACTGGTTACAGTTAAAGAATATCTCACAGTAATGTTAATGCGATTCTTACACTCTTGATTGTCTCGCTCTTTTTGTGACTTACCATTACAATTTCATTCTATCCTTAACAGTTTTTCATTCAGCTCTTCACAGGTAAGACAGCCTTTGATCTTAACGGCGAGGACGACCAGACTTCTTAGATCATAATTATACGATAATTGTGTTGACTAAACGCAACCGTAGGATTGTTGATTGTTAAATTAACTTATGACGGCAGCCGCAAAACGTCTACTTTTCTATTCAAGGGAAAAAGTAAATTTTTGTCTTTCAATGAGAATAATTTGGTTTTTATTTACTTATTTGGATCAAACTTCTGGAGAAAGTCTGTTTCTTTGACGGACCACATTTATCGAATGTTACTACTCATCGAGTAACGTTGAACTAGAACAGCTGGATTAATCATTCTTCCTGGCAACGTATCACGATAGATGTGTTATCTATTACGTGAATCAAATAGATAATTGAATCATAATATTCTGCTTATGTGCCTCCTCTTCTAAAATTATTGACTACGTAATCTTAAGATAATCGATTTATTTAAAAAGATAATTCACGCAACTGATGATATAGATTGAGATAGGAACAAGTTTATTGTGTCACAAATTTGGGTCAAGTCCAAAATAACAGTTTCATTTCATAAGAGTTAAATACTACTCATTATGTACATTATATTATATATTTAAATACTAAGGGACAGTGTTCAATTTTATATATTGTGTATGTATTTGTGATGTATTCGGATCGATGGTTTTGCACTCCAAAATGAGCACCTGTAAAATTTAAGAAGGTGCTTATCTATAAGTATTTTGTGATTTAAAACATTCGATTCTTCTATATGTGGTACAGGTGTATAAATATATTGCAATTTATCTTGAATTTTATTTAAATTTAATATTATAAACAAATCTGAAGTATAGAGTTAGAAAGGTAGCTATTATGCGCGTAATGTATTATTAAGTATTTAATATAAATATACTTCGAATCTATTTCATATACTCAATTATTTGAAAATATACTTTCATCATTTGAAAGTGTTCAGTTAGATAAGAATATTTATGTAAATATGCAATTCTCCTGACATATTTTTTTTGCCAAGTTAATGGAAAGTGTTATTTTACTCTGCAAATTTTGTATCTACATTTAATACATTTCGAAAATTGTATAGTTAATTCAAATAGCATTTATTTCGCTTGAAAATTTATATTTGTTTAATTACCATAAGGCTTGTTAAAGAAATGGAAATATTTGAAATGAAATATTTCTTTGCGACAACAGATTATGTATATATCATATTTTTGTGCAAAGATAACCGATGCGGCCTCGCATGACAGTACTTCTGTTCGACTGAATACGATTAATACCTCATCGATCATTAATAAACGTTTGTAGAGGCAAATTAGTAAACCAGTGACTAAGCGTTAAACCGAATCAGCTCTCAAGCTTGATTTCTCTCGTGTTTATTTGGCTTCGGAAATGATGATCGGGAAGAACGATATCGACGTTTCTAACTTCGATATGTCTTTCGTTTAGTTGTCACCATATCGCACCCTTGCAAGAAAATAATAAACATAGATTAACTGGCCAATTACAGATTGCTATTCATTTCCCGCTTATTGAAATATTTCAAAAATATTGAAACACTGATTGATTTGTACCAAATTCGCGTAATTATAAACTGATTTATTATTAACCCTCGAATAGTAGAAGGCGAATAATAGGTCAAACATGGCTTAATAGTAAAATTTTTATGTGCATATTTTCGAAAAATATTTCTGTATTAAATTTCATCTTATATAATTAATTTTTTAATCATATAGTGACGAAGCCGAATCGTGATTCAGATTTTTGAAATATTTTAGACCACGAAAGAGATCTAAAAAATTTCAACTTATTATATCACTTTTCTTAAGTGGATTATGTATCTCATTTACATAGATAATAATATTAACTTTTTCCGTTTTTACAGGACTGTAACTGAAGGAAAATAATATTAAAAACTGGTTGTACATTTCTTTTTAAAAGTCAAAGTATTTTCTAATTGCACGGTTGTAAATTAGTCATCGTGGTTGAATCAAGCGAATCGTATAATTATTGCAGAGTTAGAAATTCAATCCGACGTATAAATCGATTAGGAATACATAAATTAACTACAGAGAGAAACGAGCCTCGAGAAACTGGTCCTTTGCGTTCCAAACAAATCCAAATCAAAATTTTAGTAAAATGATACGACATCTTAAATTTCTTAAGCGTTCTATCTTTCTACTTTTCTCAAGACGTGGTTCAAGAAAGGTGTTTTTGATTAGGGAATATCGTGGAACCTTTTATCATGACGGGTTGTAAAATGTCTCAAAATTCTTTACCTCAGACTTTGAATATCGATCAATTTGGTCGTTATACACAATTGTCTCAATTGTTTACAATTTTTTCACGTAAAACGAAATCGACAATTTCTTCATCATTTTATAATGGAGCTTTACATTCTCGATTTACAGTTTAGTATTCGATGATATTGCCTCATAGATGAAACATAATGATTTTAAATTTTGGAATCTATTCATCCAAACGTTATGTTAAAAATTAAGGACTTTAAAACACTGTATAGTTCACTTAAGTGTGGTAACTAAGCAATATTTATTATTTAGTAAAACACATATTGTGCTTAGGTTGCGTCCATTAAAAACGCCAGTAGGTCAATATTATTTTGACGACAAAGTTGCCGCTCCAAATATTCTCACGATCAAAGTGCAAATTTGTTGTCAAAATGTTTTCTTTCTCTTACCCAGTTTTTTGAAGGACACCAATATAATTTTATTTTTTTAGTCATCGCTAGCTTATTAAATTTTATTAAGTTAACGTTTAATCGAAATTTTACCGGAATCTAATTCAAATTCAAAGCAAATTATAATTGTCTACGAACTGTTTCCTATGACTAACATTCTTATGTATAAACCTTCTATATTGAGTCCTGTATAACTTTTGAAGCAGTCGTGTGAATTTCACAACTTACATTAATGTGTTTCTTTATAACTGGTAGTATAGTGCACGCCTCACAGTTCGCGAATAGAATCATACGATAATCGCTTATGTTAGTGGCGATCCATCGAAATACCTAATGGACGTTGTACGTTTGGACATTATATTCATTTATTAAATTTAATTTCTCTGATCTTTAAAATCGCGTAAAAATATGAATTGATTTGTGAAATATTCTTAATACCATTAAATATTTAATCTAACCAATACAAATTGCATTTTCCTATGCTTAAATGAATTATGTATCTGAATAACAATAGAAGAATCAGACTTTGAAACCCCTACTAATAGATTCCGATGCTCAAAATCGTTGTGTTTCGTCTATATTTATCGTATACTATGAGATAGTGCAAAAAATTTAAAAGGGAATGGTGCTTCAAAACGAAAAGCCGAATAATTAATTTCTGGGTTGCTGTTCTTGATCCATAAATAATTGAGCATTTTTTTTTGTACAAATTATTAAAAAAAGGTGGTTTTCCACTTTTTGGCTATAAATAATTATTAATTTTAAATTAAAACTAAATTATAAAAGTAAATAAACAATGGATACTACGTAATAGCTTATACAATGATTAACTTCGTCTCAAAGAAAATTAATACATATTTAGACAAAACTTTCTTAATAATTTTCGTAATTTGAAATAAAAAAAGATCTGACATTTTGACGGGTTCCATAAATCTATTGTTAAGTAATTAACACGGAGTGATTGAATTAGTATTACTCGTATTCTGGTAGTTTTCTTGCATTGATCAACTGGAAGTGTTTGACAGAACTGTAAAAATAAAGTTTGTTAATTGAAAGCTCTTACATATATACAGGCCACTAATTTATGTTTGCTATCTTGCATTAACTGAAGCTGATATTTTCTTTTGTATATTATGTAATTGCTTCTTATAATAGTCTTTAAATTTCCATAATTTTGTCAAATATCTACAATTTTTATCTCTTTTAAATAATTTAAGCAAGTTCCAAGAGATCCTAGTTGATAAAATTGCTCTAATGATCATATATTAATAGCAATGAACAGTATGGTATAAGAATGAATTGATCGATACGTGTTAGTAGTTGCGTATGTTTGTATTAATATTTTGAACATCCAAAGATAAT